GTTACTAGACTTTTCGATAGAACTCAGGTAGCGCTACCCAGAACTCCGATCAGATCGACTAGAACTCGTCAAAAAAAAATTCTCCTAGAAGTCAGTCTTGAAAAGTAAAAAATGGCGATAATTTGGAAAATAATTATTTCACACGAAAAAGTTAGTAGACTTTTCGCTAGAACTCAGGTAGCGCTACCCAGAACTCCGATCAGATCGGCTAGAACTCGTCAAAAGATAATTCTCCTACAAGTCAGTCTTGAAAAGTAAAAAATGGCGTTAATTTGGAAAATAATTATTTCACAGGAAAAAGTTACTAGACTTTTCGATAGAACTCAGGTAGCGCTACCCAGAACTCCGATCAGATCAGCTGGAACTCGTATTTTTTTTTTTTGTAGATTTATTTTTTTTGCAATAACTTGCAAAATAATTATTTTCCAGGAAAAAGTTATGAAGCTTTTCTGTAGAACTCGGAGAATGCTGCCCAGAACTATTATCAGATCGGCTAGAACTCGCGTCGGAAATTGATCTTTTCTTATATGAATTATAATTTGGACGCGGCGAAACTTCAAAAATCGATTTTTTCGTTTTAATCGCTAGAACTATTGATATAACTGATAGAGAACTGTAGAACTATTGTAAAGCAAGCTAGAACTCCGAAGAAATTTGTGATTTTCGTGATTTCGTGCGCTGCGTGAACTTAGCGCACGATTTTTTAAAATTTGTTTTTTTTAAATTTAAACATCGGAACTATTTAAAATGATTATAAAGAACTCTAGAACTATTCAAAAGGATGTCAGAACTCTAAAAAAAAAGTCGATTTTTGAATATCGTGTGCCAAGTTCACAGGACCATTCATGTTGCTAGTAAATAAATAAATGTAACCAAATTAATTTCTAATTTTCTAAATCATCTACATAAACCAATCAGAGCATCATCTAATATCTAATTTGTAGTCAATTTTGAAATTCAATTCAAATCTAAATATATTATACGTTTAAACTTTATTATGAAGGAACTTGCAGTCTTCAAATTGTACCTTAAGAAGTTTTATTCCACATATTTATTTGTATAACAGTAGGATATGTATCCTAGACAAACTTATAATTTACCTTAATACACTGTAGCAAAATACATAGTGTTTGTCTGCGTTATTGTTTTATTATGTCTTGACTTTTGTTCTAGTGGGTGTTAGATAAAGTTTTTGTTTTCATCTGTTTGTCCGCTTACTTTATCTAAACCACGTAACGTAGTAACTAAGTATAGTAATACCCTTTTCACTGGCATTTTGAGAATTTCTTCTGGAATGTTTATGTCTATAATATAATACATGCATATGTATGTAGTTATACCTACAATCTCCGTTACATTCGAGCGAAGCAAGAGCGAGTGGCTAGTATTTTATTAACCACATAACCATGCTATTAAATTGTAGTACTTTGAATCGATCTTTGCAAATGATAGGGTGACTAAGTAATGAGCAATAATACTACTAAGTTAGTCCTATTAAGTTATTATTATTAACAAAGTCAAGGTTTTACGATGGAGGCCCATTAAAAACTTACAGAGCTGCAAAGTTTTTATTTGATAGCTTTAATCAGGGTATATCTTAGTAAGTAAACTTTTATTTCGTTTAACTATTACTAGATCTCCAACTATCGTTATACAGCAGGGTAACGTATTTTTAATTTATGTGTTTTTAATTTTTTTGAATAGTTTTTTATTCTTTTGAGGTGAAATAATATTATTTAAATTGAAGCGGATATCATTTGAAGTTAGGTAAAATATTATTCTATGTATAACTTGAATACAATACTAATTTAATATCTACGACCATACCTTCATTAAAATACAGCTCTTTAAATTTAATTGAGCAACATTTACAATAATAGTAGGTAATATGATACTTGTCTTAATAGACATTACCCTACAATTTGGATTTTTTTTAATGATACAAAAATAGATCGGTATGGAACCATCAAACTGTAACAACTACTCGTCGAGTATTTTCTACTTTTTAATAATAGCAAGTCTCAAATCGATATACTCGTTATGACTCTCCTAGAATGATGTCATATAAACGTTACGATATTAGCTTTTTAAATGAATAACGTTTCCAATAACGCTGACTTTCCAAGCCTAAAGTAGAGCAGGTGATGTGTCACACATAATATCCCATGGGATCGGATCATCCTATATACTAAGTGGTATGAAGTTACCTGCGCCCGTAGGTCGTGTTTCGGCGTGGACCGTTCTCAAGCTCTTGTAAAGACATGGCACGTTATTTGGTCTTTCTAAGCTTAATACTTTTTCTACAGAGTAACAATTTTTTTAAGAAGGGTATATTATATTTTTAATGTTAGTGAGTGAAGACGATGATGATTATGATGATGATGACGACGTGACAGAGCAAGTGTTTTTGATGTCCAGAAGCTACGGTAACCGTTTATCAACTGATGGGTCGTATGCTTGACTATCACCATGGTGGTACAAAAAAACATCATTTGATGAGTTTCTGGTCGCAGTAAGAGGCATTAACAACTGTCAGATTTCTCTGGGTATATTTGAATCCAAGGTTCAATCCAAGTGGCGACCCTACCGTACTCTCAAATCAGTATTATGATGAATTATCTACGTTCGCCATCACCGCAGAGTCAATAAGATATATATATTAATACGCAATGTTGTTTTTATGTTTAACCTTTTAAGATTTTTTTGTCCGAGTCGGATTAGTGAATTCATAAGACGAGTAGTGGTCCATTCGTGTTATAAAATATTCCACTCAATGGCATGTAGATACTATATCGCGTATGTCCCTTAGTAATACCTGAAAATCAGTGGTTTGCTGCTCGAGCAAACAATACACTGAGGTGCTGCCTTTTTTGCACTCGTTTTTTTGTACTTACATATATTGTATTTTATTAACTGACCAATGTAATTGTGTATCTATTTTTTTTTGTTTTTTTGTAACTTGTGTACTTTAACGCAAATAAAAGTTTTATTTATCTATATATGTAAAATTTTAAACCCAGATTACGCAGCATCTACAATCAGCAGGCGATAGTCCGTAATTGCTCAATAATGGATGTCATTTGCCGTTCGTATAACATAAATGCGATTAGCAAGCGAGTAATTAACGTCGACTCTGCCTCTGCAGAGCGATTTGGGATGAGTTAGTTCTATTTATTCCACTTAATTAACAGCAGTGCTGTTTTCACAGCAACGTTTAACTATATAAGTGCATACTACAGAGTTACTAAATGATGTATTCCGCATGAGAAAAAGCATTATTCATTAATGAGTATGTGATAGTTAGGCGTGTCTGATCGAATGGTAGCAATGTCAGGTTGCTCTCCACTCGGTTCCCCCTGGAAATCATAATGATAAATTCCTGGTGATTTTATCTCGATGAGCTACCGGACCTGTCCTCTGACCTGACCTCATCTATCATTCTCCACTGGTGCCCCGCCAGGGTATACAGTTATCGCAGGAGGTCGAAGTCATTGTTTCCTAGTGGGGTATCATTCTCTCAATTGAATATGTATACTGAACTGGACGTAGGGTAAAAATATAATATGAAAAAATTGATGTTCATAAGCGGCAAAAATATCCTACATGAATAAATGATTTTTTAATTTGAATTTGAATTTAAACTCAAAACCTATTTCGTTAACGTACTGCAAAATCTAAAAAAGCCTCTTCTTTGAAATATCTAACTTTAACGCATATTTTTTTAATAATTTAAATAAAATATTTATAATTTATTAAAACACGAAAGAACGTCGTGTGTTGCTTGTTTGCCGCTATCGTAGTATAAATATATAATAGTGGTCCATGTCATTGATTTTTTTGTAGTTTTATTACTAATACGCTGATTACCTACTTTATTTTCAATCACCCCATATTTAATAGCCTTGTACTGTGTATAGATTATAGGAAATTCGACTCAAATTCCGATAAGCGTACTCCTACAATTATGTACCTGACTATTCAATTACGCAACCATATATTTAATTCTATAGCAATATACTAGTAGTAAGCGATAAACCCTAAGAATTACTGAGTACTTAATTATTGCTCAGAAATGTAAACGTTTCTTTTAACTCTTAAGAAATATATGAAAGTAGTTTAAATCAACTGTACAAACTTCCCATCCATAATTTACACCCCACCAGATTTCTTTTAAGATCGCCTACATTTTTTTTACCCCTACAGGCGCTTAGTAGTGAAAAGGTAACAATCAGATAGACACGCTCGCATTTGTAATATTTGTATTCATTAAAGTGTTACATAACACATGTAAGTCTAAAACTAAAAATGGATTCATTAACTATTCTATCTTTTAGCCTAAATGACGTACGCTTCATGCATACTTGGCCTTTTTGTACTGTGAACCCATTATACAGGACTTTAATTAAAAATGAAAAGTTCTATGTGAAGTGTCGTAACTCGTAACTATACGTCGGTTATTCTTTCAGTTCCTCTCTCTCGTATTTGCTGACGTCCTTTTCTGGCAACCTACATTGTTTCCGTGCCAAGTCTGTATATCGAACCGTATAAGCTAGCCAGCTTTATAGATTTTCATATCAAAGAGTGTAATGCTAGGGATTCATTAGAGTATTAACGCAGCTAGACCCAAGCGGGCATACGGCTACGGAATTCCATGAATAGTCTTGCAGTAAAAGGAGCAGGAAGTGCATAACTGGTAAGTAGGTACGTAGGGGTAACCTTGATGGTGCAACTGAGCGGGCCTCCCGCCGCGTCTGCCCGGGCCGACGTTCGATTTTCACTTGGAGCATCAGCGCCCCGTGTCTCGCCCGGGTGGGCGTGGTCTGCAGGCCGGTCAATAGCACGGCATCTACCCTCTCGCTCTCACTCACGACGAACGTATATCTATGTCTCTATCCCCCCGGGGATGATTGAAACGTCTGATGCCGCAGGCGCCCCGCGCGCCCCCTCGCCAAGGACGTTCAGTGAATCCGTCCCTCTCTGCCCCGAAAGCACGTGTCTCCGTTACTATTTCTTATAATGTGTGCCCCCTTGATACCCCGCGAAAATTCACAACCAATTATGAGTCAAGTGCCTGATAAATTAGGAGACGTATTCGATGTCTGAAAGGAATCGCGAAGTCGCTTTTAGCGATGTGTGAAGAACTCCACTTTCTTGGACAATTAGGTGCCCATGTGAAGTGATATGGAGATAAGGAAATTTTCCGGGAACATAATCTCTTCGTGTTTTCCGTCCTGTGTACTATCTTGCCTTTTTACTACTGCTCTCGTGATATACCTTCAGGTACGTTGTGATTTTGATAATTATTTCGTGATAGTCTATCAAGAACATACATAGCCATTTAACCTTCTCATAGATTTCATCTGCATTATTCTTTCCAGTCAAATGTTTCAGCTCCATTATATTACCATAGTCGCCTGGCTGTCGCCAGCAGTCTAGACATATAATTATTACACATCGAGCCAACAAGGGCGGTTCAGGAGATGTGACTCATCCGAAGCCGTCTTCGGCATCGATCGTATCTCCTCTACATGTCGAAAAGGTCAGAGAGTAATAGAATACAGTCAGTAGTTTCTGATAAAAGCCTATGAAACATACACAGCTAGTCAACAAATTTTGGTACCACCATCAGTAAGCAACATATTCATGCGATACCTTCGGTGAGTTGTTACGTGATCACGATTGTAATGAAGTCAGTGAATCGATTAAATATATGATTGCCATGACATGCACATTAGCTGATGATGTCAGAATGACATCACCCTTCCCTACTATAGCATATTAGTTTCAATACTACTGCAATAGTATGTCCTACGCCCAGCGATAGTGACTGGTGGTATAATCATAGCCAGGGACGTAATTTACGTAACCGATATAAACACATTGTGAGATAAAACGCCTACCGCAGCGACGATTTCGAAATTGTGTGGTTCTTGAACAGCTTTTTGATGGACTCGCTTGGTTTCGGCATATCTACCGTATGCTGTTTATAGTCCATTGACGTCCAAGATTAATGTAATCAAATTTTCATTAATTTACTAGTTACCTTTCCTTCTATTAAGACATCATGAGTTTTTATTTAGCTCAAAATTTTCACTTTTTTAAGCGCATCTTCTCGCGGCTGCCATTCGTATGAAATGGGCGCTATGCGTGGGATTAATTATTTAATTTCTTGAAAGAGTCTGGAAATCTTAATTTCAAAATGAAAATAGATTACCTTCTTAGATACGAACGAACGTGCAAGGATAGACATACTCGTTTATACATATAAAATACAAATACTCTTTTAACCGTGAACGCCTTATATAGTACGTGAAAGGTGACTAATGTAGAAATCACTGTTGGATCTACATCACTTGCATGTCAATTGGTCGTGTCTCCTATTTTATATGTAGATGAGATTCATTCCATATACGACAGTATAACGTGAAATAACTCTTCAACAGAGTTCGGATATTGGGAGTAAATCAAAATATTTTTTCCAGAACAAAGTAACTTGTCTATTGGTACTATTATTATAATACTGTCTGTCCATAAAGTTATAAATCGCACAGAACATAAATATTTGTATTTCAATATAAAGGAATGTAAAATACCTATACTTTAAATATAATATTTCCTGTTCAATACTGAGTTTGTGTAATAATATACAGCATTTACATTTATCTGCATATTAAAAAAGTTTTATTCTCCAGATTTCTCACAAGGATATTTTGAGAAAAGTATTAATTATTCTATCATTGAACACGTTAGATGCTGTTCCGTCTATGAGTTTGGTCTTCTCTCTTATAATAACTTCAGCCTGACTAATTCCTCCTATCTCTAAATTCTATTATCGTTACACTTTCTGTTGATTTAAGAATGTTTTCTCTTAATCTTGGAACTACAATATCGATGACTAATTCAAACTATTAATTGAATATTTTTACTTTATTTCTTAGGTTATATCTAATATTTTTCTTTTACTATTTTTATCATTTTATTTCCCAATAGTGCCTTGAAACGATTGCTTTCAGCAACTCGACAACGACTTGCGTGTCATTGTTAATCCTCTGTGTCATACCTGTACTGTAAATAGAAAAATATTCTCTCTTATTTTAACTTTATGTGTTACAGCTGGTCGTTTCGCGTATATCATTAGTCATAGATATTATCTTGAATTCAAAACGCGTCATACTTAAGTCATCGCAATATCACCATAACAATAATTCTTGTATTACACGCCTTTTACGGTGGATGTTTATAGTTTTTAGTTGCAATGTCACGAATTATGATGTTTTCTTGCGACAAGTAATCTTTGTTTGCGACCGTGGTTACCAACGACGGAATATTTTCGGCTTTGCTGTGTCGGCGAATTGCAGATGTCTCAATTATTCGGTCACGTAAGTCTAAGTCGTTAAGATGCTAAAATTCGGATCTTAGAGATCAGTACAGCCCATTATAGCAATTCTGCTGACAATTCGCGTGATGCAAAGCAACCGTGTTCAAATGAACATCAAGGCATCGTACAATTCACGGTACATTAATTATATTTTATTATAGTGAATATAACAAGTTGTGTTTGCATACTATATAAGCATTGTTGCATTAAGTATTACTTTAAACCTCGAAAAGAGTACAAACATATTAAAAAGATTTCTAGAAATACGAACGTGTGAATTCGCACATTTTCTACAATCTTTATAACCTAATTTTAAGTACTACTTAATGTTAATTATAAAAACAACAATTATGTTGATATTAGATATACATTATGCGTAATGTAAAAACAGATATGCTGTTGCCTACCATAAATAAAATCTTACGAACACTATGTACATAAGAAAATACTATGTACACTCGAATAAGTCTATCTCGACATATCATGAGGAAATGTCACACTGAAACCTTGAAAAATATACTTTAGTAATTAAAAGGGAGCAAATAAAATGTAACGTACTAAAAAACGGCCTCGGTGGTCTAGCGGATTAGCACAACGCTTGAATCCGATGGTCGCACTTTCGATTCCTCACACGGTTCAAACATTTGTTTGAGTGTTGTTGTTTGTGTTAGGGTGCTTTCTATGTATATTATGTGTTTAAGTATTTATCAGTTGTTTAGTAACAGTACTACAAGTTCTGTGTATTTAACGATTGGAATGTGCTATGTGAATTGTTAAGAAACAAAATTAATAAGATTTTATTCAATATTCCATTATGACAGACACTCCTCTGAGCAAATATTTTCCAAATGCAAATTTAATCATAGAACTGTAATGTTTAATTAATATCGAAACAAGAAATAAATGTACTTGCAAATATATATAATTATTTTCTCGTTAAGTATTCGGAGACGTTATTACGTTTCAATTTTATTTCATTAAATCAATACATTTTAAGATTTTGATCATTTGAGATATGAATGTTTCATGCCTCAAGTGTTAATTTGTAACTACGTCGGAACTAAATGGGCAAGAGAAGACTTGATCTGTTAACAGAAAGATGGGAGAAAATCTCCTACCTAAAGTAAAAGACTAGGAAATCCACCTTGCTTAAAAAAATCTGAGCTGAATGGATCGATAATCCATACCATAATCAATACTTGTGTATACGTTATTTAGCTTTTTAAAAACGCTCTTATTTTATCTTACGCGCATCAGACAAATCTATCTGATGTTTTTTTTATTTGTGTATTATTTAGTTACTTATATATATGATTATTTTACATTATTAAATATTTAATTTAATTCATTGTAAGGTCGAAAAGAATCTGTATGTTTTACTTCATTGTCACTAAGTCTCATGTAAATAATGTCAGACTTGTGTTTGTTAGTATTTTGAATAAAAATAAATTATGTGAATGAAGGTTATCTAAATATAATAAATTTAAACTAATAATGTTATCACTTTTATATCTTTTTATTCTACCGTTTGTTTTACAGCCTCGTTCTTTATACCGTAGTAGCTAAACTTTAAATTATTTTAGGGTTTTCAAATCAGATCACACATTTTTAGCCAAGTCGGACATTTCGCGCACTTTTTGAAAGCACGTCATAATTTTTTATCACTATCGCGACCGTCCAATTCAGTGAGCTACTTCAGATGAAAAGAACTGACAAGAACTCAACTCACTCACTCAAGCTGTACCAGTTAAGTTATATATTTTTTTTTCCATACTTTTATTCTATTAATTTTCTCAGCTACAATATGATCTGGAAAAAATCGTTGTAAGTACAGAATGACCTTTTTTTTTTAATTAAATTGCATTTATGTGTTTGTTATAAAAAATAGTCCTTTTCGATTTTGTCTTCATTTTCTTCTATCTAAATAAATAGAGTTTGCAATTCAGAAATAAGCATCGCCATATCTACTGACGTTACGTCAACTCATAACTTGAACACATTTATGAAACTGAAAAATTACTGATTTTTCATAGTATACACGGCAATAGTTGTATTGTCATTATATTTTCAATGATGGCAACCCTATATCATCTAGCGAATAACAATAGCCAAGTAAACAAATTACCTGTGCAATGCGTCACAAGTCGCGGCTCGACATTTTGCAAATATTTGTACCATCGCCAGCCAGCGACCTTAATTGCTTATTTGTACTGGCATCTCAGGCTTGTGTGCTTTGCCCCGAAGATATCGAGTCTTCGGGGGTGTTGTGATAAAATCTACGAGGGGTTTATTCTCTTATCGTTATTAGGTCAAGGGTGTTTGAGATAAAATAGATACGTGTGACAAATGGATAGTATAATATACGTTCAATTCACACTAAACGGTTTTGAAATAATTTGTGACTTAATTACGAAATAGATTTTCAAACTTGACAAAAATTATTTAAATGGGACTTAAATCTGAGGTAGCAATATCGATTTTAAAAAAAAAATTGGTTTATTTGCTTTAAAACCAGGTAAAGTAATTTTTTGCTTCCCAAAAATTTTGTTTCATTCTCAAGTGTACCGATTTTATATTGACTTTGAAAGACAAGAAAAAAAATGTGAGACCAATGTAAAGCATACCTTACTTCCATGTTAATTTGGAAGTTATTACGAGTATAATAACATATTATATTGATATGCCTAATTTGTTGTAATATTCGAATTTTCAAACAATATGACATAAGATTTTTATTTGTTATAGGTCGCCACCTGCAGCATAATAGGGAGCCATACGCCGCGGCGGAAAGACGGGTGCGACACGCACTCGTGGTAAGTAACATCTTTAACAATTATTTGTCTTTCCTATAGTATAATTGCTTTGATATGGGTGAACATCGTCGACAATATACGCAAACAAATAGGCAAAAATGTAGCCTACCTTTTTTATCTAATTGGAATCCTAAACAAGCTGACAGGGCACCTGATAGTAAGCGGAAATCGTGGCCTATATACATGAATCACGTTATCATGTGACGCCCGTGATATCACTCATGCTTTGCTATTCTGTAGGTGTAAGATATCATGCCTCTTACACTGAAATAATTCTTACCTGATGGAAAATGCCAACCATTGCCCGTTATGCATCACGGACATAAAGATGAGGGACCATATTCCTCATATAATGTCAGATCCAAAATATGGAATGCAAAAAGAATATATTTTATCAAATCAGGTGTTATTTTGTGAAAGTCCAATTCATTACTTAATTAATACTTCAACTAGCTACTCGCCCCGGCTCTGCATGGGTGTATTATATATATAAACCTTCGTTTGAATCACTCAATCTATTAAAAAAAACCGCATTAAAATCCACTGCGTCGTTTTAAAGATTTAAGCATACATAGGGACGGAAACAGCGACGACAACGCTTTGACAACGACTTTGTTTTATACTATGTAATAGTAATGATATTGCAATATGGGTGTAGATAATCCAATAATGGTCAGAATTTGATCACTAATAGATAAAGTTATAATGCTTCCAGTAGCGATAGTCAAGTTTTCGCTCTGAATGCTTGAATTAGACATAATAATAATAATCCATTTAGTTAGAAATAGAAAAAGAAGTCATGGATATTAAAAAATGTCAGTCCAATAACCCGTTAGTTGTGATTATTATTTCACTTCATCTATTATTCGATATTCACTTCTCGATTCACAGTCTTTCACACTCACATAATATATATTGGCTGTCAATACGTCAGCCTGTTCAACCGATGTCCGATTCGGAGACACGTTCCGTTTCCATTCTATTCGCGTTCGGAACACTTTTGTATCGATTCCCACACGATACCAAACAGTGATTTTGTTCTCTTTAGTTCTCATCTTATTACTTAATAGTTTAAATTACTTATCTATCTGTTTTCGCTTCAGCTCTTACAAATAGATCTTATGTACTTTAGAGATTAGCAGTGATAGTGTTTACAAAAATACATATATATATATGGAGATAACACACAAGCATCATCTTTAAAATTAAAAAATAAATAAAAAACGGCTCACATAAAAATAATGAAAAATTGAGAACCTTTTTTCGAAGTCCATTAAAACTATTAATAACCTTTGTCTTAAATATTAGTCTCGACTTGATGTATCTACCAAAGGAGTATAGTAATATTCGTTGTAGACTTGCAGTGAACGTTACTAGATTTTTAACATTATTCAAAGCCCTAGTAGAGTATCAAGGCAGGTGAGGATCATACAAATCGGATTACCTCCGGATAGTATTTCCATAACGTGCCATTTTGCTTGCACTAGCGATACATGGTCGTAGTCAATTAGAATTGGTTCATATATTTGCTTATAGGCGAAAGAAATGAGATACCTAACGGAATAATTTCAAAACACAATATAACTTCTTTGTAAATTCTGTTTTGGTTGAAAGGTGAGATATGGCAGTGAAACTACAGAATAAGAGGCATAATATCTTAGTCACACATGAGAGTACTACTGGCGTTACAGGAGCATGTAATGTATGTGGTTCTCTTCGAGCATATGATGACGGTCACCATAGGGAAGGAGGCTGTTTTGCCATTCCGTTTCATTAAAAAACATATAGTATTGTTTTTCCTATATATGCATATGCACCCATAATTAACCAAATATACACGTTTCAATATCGTTGTATCACATCAAAAGTTATTTGAATACACAATAATGAGTATTTAAATAGGAGGACATAGCGTAGTTTACAACGTGTATTTGTATAGGACCCTATACTTCGTTCAGAAATGAAAAACGTCTTCTCAATTTAATTTCCGTTCAACGTTACAGTGATGGAAAACACCAAATTAACCCGAAAGAAATGGCACGCTCACCCGGTTAGACCGGGTTAGATTTATCATTAGATAATAGTAATGCGGGCGATTTGAGTTGTTTTGTTAAAAAAACAACAATTGACTAATGCCTCTCATTACCCACCGGAACATGTTCTTTTTTCAAGTACGTTTGACATTGTTATCGATTCGAAAGAAATGTTTATCCTTGTCTATGAATTCATGGAAAGTAAACCGTCATAATAGTTGACTAATACTATAGATTAACTATGTGTAGTAATAGTTATAATATGACAATACTATCTAATTACTAAGAACAATTGCCAGAGTATAAAATTCCAGTTAAAAATTGATTTGAATTGATTGATAATAGATTTTTTCAAAACTATCACACAAACAAGCTTAAACTGCTCATTTTCCGACCACAAATAATGAGATGTAGGCAAGGCAATATTCTCCATCAACACTTATCATGTAAATCAATTTCGATTTTGTGACATTATTTATTTTAATTTTCAAGTAGATTTCCAAAAAGCCAAATTACTCGTTGATAATACAGCTTTTTACAGGTGAAGCAATTTTTTAAATCTATCAAATATTATTCGAGTAACCATTATAAACAAAAAGTCAAATCTTTCCTCGGTATATGTTTAGATAGTGGAATTACCATTAGTTTCGTCGTGATCAGAAACCAGTTGTGGTCCATTATCGTTAATCTATCTGCCCTACACGTCACAACAGTTTCAATCATTCGTATTTCGAAGTCGTGAACTGAAATAACAGTTCAAACAAATGTATACAGCGATTGACATAATGTCTTTACTGGTTTTTCACGTGAGATTAGGTTTTTGAAACAATTATTATAACTTTACGTTTTCGAGACTTGTTGTTAACGTGGTTATGGCTAATGTTTATTGTGCTATAAAGATTTTTTATTCCATACATATATCAGTATGGTGTCTCCCATACCTATTAAGTATTAGGGTGTTAGTTTTTCACGGCTAAACGGCTGAAAACGGCGGATCTTAATGAAATTAAATATTGAGATAATATTATGAGGATGAACTAAACTAATCGTTTTTTTATGTTGAGTTTGAGTTGATGTCGAGAGTAATAACTAGTGTTTTATAAATAACTGTTTCTATGTGATATTATACAGGTGGCAGGAATAGTGATGGCAAAAAAATGTTCTGTACATATGATCGATTTTAACTTGAAAGCTATGTTATATTACATACTTAAATTTATTGATTTTCTTTTGTAATTAATATTGAAAATAAAGTAACACGTTTGAATATCATGTCAGCTACGTAAGAACGTATAAAATACAATTTTAAACGTTATTTTATGAATTGTACCAGTTGCAAGTAATTTATGTGTTCTATATTATTCATTTTCATCTTTAAATCAACTAGTGAATGTTTCCTTCTTTTTTCATCTTTAAATAATTAATGCCATATTCATCTACATAAATTTTGTAAACAATAGACTAGTGAATGTACTTGAATGTTCAAGCATGAATACGTGAAAAGTTAGATTGCTGTCTGGTGTTTGTGGCCATATCTACTCTAGCCCTAAATGTTTCCTTCTTTTTTAACTTTAAATAATTAATGTCATATTCAACTACGTCAATTTTATAAACAATAAACTATTGAATGTACTTGAATGTTGAAGCAGGAGCTCGTACGTACGAATACGTGTAAAGTTAGATTGCTGTCGGGTGTTTGCGGCCATATCTACCTCTAACCCAGTTCACAATCAATTAAACGTACACACTCCACGAGTTAGTTATCGAAATGGCACTTCTATATCTGAATGTGGTCTGAGTGCATGACATTTGGGTTTCACCTGTCTGTTCTGTTAGTTTAGTAATTCCACATTTTGCGGATTTGTTGAATTTGGGTCTATCAAATTGAATTTCAACTTTCCATTGCAAAATGAAATAGAACTATGATAAAATCATAAATTCCACAGATGTGCTTAATTACTTTTATCTGTTAGACAACCTTGCTATATTGGTTATAAGACCGCCTAGCCTTTCAGGTGGCGGGTTCGAATTCCACACGATATTATCGTAATATTTATAAAAAAATGTATTTCTGTTGGATAGATAAAAAAATATTAAGATAAGAAAAAATATTATTAAAAAAATATAGTAGTACACTAGTGTAGATTCAGATATAAGAAGAATACATTACAGAAGATGTAGAACAATAAAATTGAGTCTGGGTAAATCTGCATGAGTACTACATCAATACAAATTGTTTCATAGATCAGTGCATTGCAAACAACCGATTTTCAACAATGATCGCGAGAGGAGGAATGTACAATTAAAAAAACTCGCATGTTAACAATAGAAAATAAATAAGAACAATGAACTTGAAATTGAATGTATGTCTATCAGTTACATGTTTAATAGTCATAGTTAGTAAAACTTTACTATAGGTATAAGATGTACCCATAGTCAGGGTTTAGGTACTAAATTTGGAAATATGACACTGAAATAAAAAAAGAAAAATCTATCAAAGACGCGCCTCTATTAGTTGAAAAGAAAAACTCTTCCGATCAACTGATAAAAAATTCTCACAACTTTCAAGTAAAGGGGAGTAAAAAATGTCATTAAAGTATAACAAGACACGACAAAATAATCAAATAGGGCTTTCAACCTTCCTATAGTGTTAATAGTCACGCCACAGTGATTTTCTGGAAAGTTCACCGAACTCCTTTTTTGTCCTCATGTTTCGAAATAGCGCCTAGGCGTCGACTGTTTGATATTTAATAGCCCCGAATGTTGAAGTTTTGCTCACTTCTTCAATGGTACCATAATTTGATTTGAAGTTTTATACTTAAGGTAACTTAAGTTAAACATTTAAATTACTTTTATCTCCTTCTGAGCTATAAAAATTATTTCTTTGTATTTGTCCTCAGCGACATTTTCATCATGTTTTACTCTCATATCGGTTCTATGCAAATAATAATTTTGGAAGGTATTGTA